CTAGGTTACCAAGATTTAACTTGTAAGCAGTTGAATGACTAGAAAGATTGCGATAGACAATGTAGGAGAAATAGCAGGTTTGAGGGATGAGTTTGAAAGGGTTCTGTTTTGGATAGATTGCACTTGAATTAAAGATTTCTGTTAAGCAATTGGAAATTTGGATCAGCAGTTTAAGAGGCTGGTGAGAATATGATTTGTGTATAAAGGATGAATCCTAATAGAGTGATTTTTGAAAATGTAGGGTTAGGTGATACTGTCAAAGGGTTAGAGTAAGTCTGTGAGAGACTCAGGGCCAAACCTTGGGAAATACCTCCTGTGTTCAAGGATCAGGCAAAGGGGCCCCTGGCTGACTCAGTTGGTAGAACATGCAACTTTTGATCTCGGGGTTGTGAGTTTGAGCCCCACATTGGGTGTAAAAATTATTTTTAAAAAATCTTTAAAAAGGGGATCAGGCAAAGAAAAAGAACCAGTGAGGGAGATACTAGAAAATTGGTAAAGAACTGGGAGTGTGCAATGTCAAGCAAGTGAAGGGAACACTTCAAGAAGTTGGAGTTACACTGTAGGGGAATTGAGTCTGATGAAAAGGGGAAATGGGTAAGTAAATCTTTGGTGGTAGTTTGGAGAGCAGTTTGGTTTGAGTGGTATGATGTTATTGCAGTAGTCCTAGGAATGAGAAGAAAATATTAAGGAAGGGAAGACAGCAAGTTACTGGTTAGACTTTTAAGGAAGTCCCTGAGGTTATTCTTGAAGGGGAGAAACAGGGTCTGTTTTGTTTTGTGTAGGGGAGCAGGGATGAAAGGGTGGATGGGAGAGAAGACAGAGAAGATACAGAGCTGTCTTAAAGCAGAGGAGTGGTAAATTGTAGGAGGCAACGTTAGTCAGTCTCTGTCTCAGTGAAGCAAGTGTCTCTGCTGAGAACAAGTCAGGTGATTTCTTTGGTTAGGAAGCTTGAGGGGAGTGATACAGGGCAGTCTATCTCAAATGCAGGGAAGTCTTGAACTTGGTGGCACAAGTTACAGGCACCCGCCTTTACTTCCCCTTAGCAGCTCCACCGGGGATTGGCTGGAAGGTGCTGTGGCAAGTGCAGTCTCTTTGAAAGCTTGAGTTCTTGATGTACATGCAAAATTTGCATTTTATGCTGTAAAACATCTACGGTTGTTTAAATATATATATATAAAACTTTTTTCCCCCTCAAATGTAAAAGTAAAAGTCATTCTTCAGGAGAATCGTGCCGTGTTTATCATATGGCTTCAAATATCCGTTACAAAGTATCCCAGTTTGAGAGGCACTGTTAAGGATGTTAATTAGGAATATGAGTGAGGATTGCTGAGTAGTGCCAGTTGGTGGGGGAGTGTTTTTTTATCTTTTGAGTACTGCTGACCTAAAAGAGTAATGAAAAAATTCAAGATGAGTGCCACTTAATTGGAAAAAAGCTTACTTTGTTTTTATTTTTGGTTTGAAATTTGAGAGGGGAAGAAATACAAAGCTGCTTCATCAGCCTTTTTTTTTTTTTTTTTAAGTGGAGCCCAGTATGGGGCTTGAACTCACGACCCTGAGATCAAGACCTGAGCTGATATCACGAGTTGGGTGCTTAACTGACTGAGCCACTCCTTAAAAATATTAAATAATCTCTACACCCAATGTGGGGCTCGGACTAGAACCCTGAGATCAAGAGTTACATGCTCTACTGACTGAACCAGGCAGGTGCCCCTGTAGTTCATAGATGGACTTCAGGTTGTCAGAAGTTTCTGAAATTACATGCCAAATTTTGTTTGTGATTTTTTTTCCTTCTTAGGGAAAAGGTCCATAGTTTTCCTCAGATTCTACAAAAGATCCAAGACCCTTTTTGATCTGTTTCATCTGTGACAATTTACCCACCCATTAAGTACTTTAAGATTCAATTATTCGTCTTACAATGTTGTTGTTAAGTCAACTACCCTTTAATAGTTCTTTGTATGTTAATGGTTCCTCCTCTCCCCTATAAACTGGTTAGCATTTTCTATTTCCAATCCTAGACATATCCTTGGACCCCAGGTTAGAACCTTTTGTTTAGTAGTGCTGCTTAAATTTTAATGGGCATACAGATCTCCTGGAGAAACTATATATATTGAATTTGAGGTGACAGAGGTATGTAAAATGAATATTTTGATACAGTAGATCTGGAATGGGTTATGTGATCCTGCATTTCTTTCTTTCTTTTTAAGATTTTATTTATTTATTTGTCAGAGAGAGAGAGAGCACAAGCAGGGGGAGCACAGGCAGAGGGAGAAGCAGGCTCCCCGCTGAGCAAGGAGCCTGATGTGGGACTTCATCCCAGGATTCTGGGATCATGACCTGAGCCAAAGGCAGACAGTCGGCTAAGCCACCCAGGCGTTCCTGTGGTCCTGCATTTCTAATGAAATTCTAGGTGATGCTGTTGGTAGACCACAATTTGAGTAGCAGAAGGCTAAGACTATAGGTCTTGAGGTCTTGTGCTGGTACATAGAATCCAGTACATGTTTCCCTCCTCACATTTATTAATTCACTTATTGGTTCATTTTTTCATTTTACCTGCAAGCTATAAATACCATGTATTTATCAGGCTCTAAACTGCTTAATAGGCATACATAGGTGATAAAGTGTGAGTCCTACCTTCCTTGAACTAGTTTTTAGTCTTGTTTGGTAAATAAAGGAATTAAATTTGGTTATGTTGGCCTTGAGTTGGTGGCACATAGTAAGGTGCTCAAAGATTAATGAGATGGATGAAGTATTTTTGGGATATCCAATAGACAGTTGATCTGGACTATCCATTAATTCTTTTTTTTTTTTTCTTAGAAGGGGAGAGAGGCTGGGGCAAGGAGAGGGGCAGAGGAAAAGGAAGAGAGAGAATCTTAAGCAGGCTCCATGCCCAGCATGGAGTCCCACACAAGGCTCAATCTCACAACCCTGAGATCATGACCTGAGCCAAAATCAAGAGTCAGATGCTTAACTGACTGAGCCACCCAGATGCCCTGTGGCGTTAATTCTGGTAACATGACCTACAGTTACATTAACTGTGATTGCTGCATTTCATTTTTGGCTAGTTATATTTGTCATCTGCCAAAACCCTTAGGTTCCTCTTTCATGTGAAGAACAGGGCTTTGGATATATTGAATATGAGGTGACAGAGGTATGTAAAAGCAGAATTGTCCTGTAGGCATTATAAATGTGGCTTTAGTAAAAAAAAGGTTAACTTGCTATTACTATCTTGAGAGTAGTTACAAACATATAAGGAAGGAAAATTATTAGAGGGAGCCTTACCTGTTTTGTTAATCATAACCATAGTGTTGCATAGGTGATTTATATGTTTGTTTTGCTTTGACAATATTAAAAATCATGTGAGATTTTCTTTCTTCTAATACTATAAGCATATAATCTGGTATTTCAACAACATAAAAATATGTATAGAAACTACATATTAACAAAATAATAGTGTTTTAGAATTTTTTCTTTTATGATATGGTGCAGTTGAAGAGGTTTATGCATTCTTTACGTAGGAGAAAACTTACAAATAACCTGAATGGCCAGGAAAATGGTTTAAAAAAAACTGAGTTGCCATATGAAACAATGCTTAGAATAAATTGTTTTAATAACATGAGAAAACACTGGAAAAAAGCGTGATACAAAATTGCGTATACCATATGATCTCAGCCACGTTAAAATGAGTAAATAAAAAGACTGGAAGGAAATATATCTCTTGGTATTTGGGATTGCAGATTTATTTTTTCAGTTTATATATATAATATACATAATTAACTGCCATAAAAAGGAATTTTTATGAGAAGCATTTTGTAGAAATGACAACAAAGGGCGCCTGGCTGGCTCAGCCAGTAGATTATGTGACTCTTGATCGTGGGTTCTGAGTTCAAGCCCCATGTTTGGTATAGAGATTACTTAAAAATAATAAAATAAATCTTTAAAAAAAAAAAATGACAAAACAGTGATCTGCGGTTCTATAGACTTTCTCATCAACTTTAGTGCAATTATTGAAGCTTTACTGTGTACCTAATGTTTCTGTACAGTTGTCTTTTTTTGTTAGCTTAAATGTGTTCATCAGAATCATCCATGGAGCTTTAGAAAGTATACATATCTCGGGCACCTGGGTGGCTCAGTTGGTTAAGCGACTGCCTTCGGCTCAGGTCATGATCCTGGAGCCCCGGGATCGAGT